GATACTCATACTGTTGATCCTATCACTCACACAGCTAAGGCACAGAGCGGGACATTCATGAACTTCGAGCTAAAACCTGGTAAGACAGACTAACCTGGTGATACAATATTTTATTTAGAGTTCATTTGATCATTTATGTCTATCTATTTATTAAACTCTCTATTTGGATTTATGTAATTACTGATCTATATTCATACCTACAATTGTCCATTACGTAGACCTAAAAGGTATTTCTTTTGTCATTGTAGGCTTCATGTATCCATAATAAAGACACCAAGAAACCCTTAAAAAGCGTTGTTCATATGAATTGAACTAAGGAGCTCACATAGATATTGTTGAACAATTCTAAGTAAAAACAAACTGTACATATCGCACTTTGTACCCGGAAGTGTACTTGTGGTCTGAGGCCGTCTGACGCCACCCTCTTGAGAAGAGAAGCATGGATTTTACAAAGCATCCATTCGGACTTCCTGCCTCAAATCCAAAGGCAAATATAGTTAACACTATTCTTAAAGAGAACTATTTGTGTCAAAAAGAGAACCGTATATCCAATGCATGTGGTATTGTCAGTATAGTGCTTAAACTGTGTTTTGATGCCGTGGATGTCCCCGTATCAATTAAATACGGTATACTTAAGTTTATAAACAAAATGCGACTGCCTCACGTGTGGCTCGACTTCCAAGGACACATCCTTGACAACACATTCATGGTATACCAGGATGAGGACACTTTCATCAAGATAAAGACTATGGGTGTGTGCGAATATGAAGAAGGTACAGGTAACACCGAACATCTGTTTTTGGGAGACCAGGACAATCGGAGACTCGGCATACCAGACCATAACAAAAATGAATTCCAAGTCTTATTAAAGCGACCAGAGTCAACCATGACAATTGCCGTTCGAAACATGCCACATATTGGGGCATATTACCACAGAATGAGAGAAATCATGGACAGACAGTTTAAAGTGTCGATAAAGAACTTTTTTGATAGAAGTGCCGATACAAAATGCTGGGCATGTGACGGGGAGAAACCGACCGAGGAGTTAAAGAAATGTTCTGTTTGTAAGGTTGCCTGTTACTGTGATAAAACATGTCAGAAAAAGGACTGGAAAGAACACAAACATGTGTGTTGGAAGCCCGAGTCTGCGTAGTCTTATTATAAATCACACTTAAGTCATAGCCCATTTATTAAATCGGGAACAGATAGGATTGGTAATATGTATTGATGCAGACTTTTATGCTGATATTGTCGCCAACTATAAAGCTGAAAGTCTCCTACTAATCCTTCGTCACTATACTGATACAAAGTAAAAGCTTGCTCATTTTCTGAGCACTTTTGATGTATGCATGACAAACAGTGTAACTTTTATTAAAAGTGTTGTTGTTGATGATTTTTTCTTTAATATGTCGGGTATCGCTGCCCATTTATATTTTTCACTAGTTCTACTTGATTGAAATAAAGTAAATTGCAAAGATCAAAGACGGATTTGGTTATATTTAACAAGTTTCATAATGCATTGGATGGTATTGAGTGGACAGACGCATTTCAAAGATTAATTATTGATGAATATGCTTTTTCATTCCCCATATGCGTTTTTAAAGTTTTATAAAGTTTTTAAGACCGTAAAACCAAATTGTACAAAGACTCATTTTTGAACCCTTCTTTACAGTTATGGAATATACATTAGCTACCATACATACTTGAAAATCCGTCTGTTAAAACGAATGAAATATAGCCATTAGAATATCACCTACACTTAGAGGTAATTCCATTATTTAGTTGTGGATCGGTCAAACGTGATTACCACGTCTTGTTAATATGTATTAATTGCTCCAGAACAAGACGAAATAATTAATTTAACATTTATCATTTCCAGTTAAGTTTTCCCCAGTTCCGAAGAAATGTGATTTGGCTGTATTATATGTTGAAGAGAAACTTATGAAAGCTTTAAGCTATTTTTTTCTATCCCTAAGAAATTTATGTATGTTATTTCTGTGTTCTGAATACATTTAAACTTAACTTTAGCCATTAAGTTTAATGAATGTTTTATCAGAATTCAGTCATCCAAACTGACATCAACAACACATTTTTTATTAATGGTTGTTCCAAATGATAGACCGAAACTCGTTCTTAGTCAACACAATTAAAGAAGGTTTTTGTGGAAGATAAGTTTTTTCCAATCATGAACGGCTGGAAGAGTTATCCTGATACATTCATGGTGTGGAATGAACGGCTGGAAGAGTTATCCTGATACATTCATGGTGTGGGGTGAACGGCTGGAAGAGTTATCCTGATACATTCATGGTGTGGGGTGAACGGCTGGAAGAGTTATCCTGATACATTCATGGTGTGGGGTGAACGGCTGGAAGAGTTATCCTGATACATTCATGGTGTGGGGTGAACGGCTGGTAGAGTTATCCTGATACCTGATACATTCATGGTGTGGGGTGAACGGTTGGTAGAGTTATCCTGATACATTCATGGTGTGGAATGAACGGCTGGAAGAGTTATCCTGATACATTCATGGTGTGGGGTGAACGGTTGGTAGAGTTATCCTGATACATTCATGGTGTGAAATGAACGGCTGGAAGAGTTATCCTGATACATTCATGGTGTAAAATGAACGGCTGGAAGAGTTATCCTGATACATACATGGTGTGGGAAGAACGGCTGGAAGAGTTATCCAGATACATTCATGGTGTGGGGTGAACGGCTGGTAGAGTTATCCTGATACATTCATGGTGTGGGGTGAACGGCTGGTAGAGTTATCCTGATACATTCATGGTGTGGGGTGAACGG